CTGACCCACATTTTAAATTGGTAATATCATAGAATCAAAAATGCGTCATAATTTAGTGATCCAGTTACGTTATGTTTCTGATAATAGACGTGAATGCTTTTTTGACTTGCTGTTCCAGAACATAGTTGCCCTGCAAGAGAATTTAGGCAGAGGGTTCTGGGAACTGGCCTATTCACATAGTTCATATCCACCATAGACTCCGGTCAGTCAAAATGACTATTTTTAACTATAGGCATTAATCTGCGATTCAGCCATTGATGGAAAAATAAATCTAGGTCAGGGGAAGTCCCATGACCTCAAGATTTTCCAAGATGTCACGAACCACATGACCGAGGCCATGAGGCGTAGCCATATTTGCCAAATACGTCACTCTGGTTCCTTCTTTCTCTGCGTCCAGGACTAAGCCAAAGGTACGGAAAAAGTGAGGTGGTTGGGGGGTCTATGATGGGTATGAACTATGTGAATATCGGTTTCCGAGAACACTCTGTTTAAATTCACTACGTTGAATTACCCACCATGGACTCCGGTCAGTCAAAATTTCTATTTTGAACTGTAGGCAGATTCAGATGCTGATAGGTGGCGGGTTTCCGTGTAAACAGTAAGTGATGAAAAGTGTGTCCCAGTCCGGAATAATGCTCTCCAGTAATAGACTACCACCGAGTTAAGACTAATGCAAGAAATGGTGTCTTATTACCTTGCCTGTACCGTCCTTGGAGCATGAGCCAAAATGATGCCATGGTGACGGGGTTCGGTGTGCCCTAGAATGCTAGACCCCCAACCCCAATTCTGGGGTAACTAGCTTGAAATAAGGACCGAAACAGTTATGCATGAGAGCATAGGTCGAAAGCGAGACCTGGTAATTGCAGGGAGTGTCGAAGGTAGAAATCTGTCCACAAAATTGCTAAGATCCCTGTGGTTGTTCGGGTTGGGTCAGCAAGCAAAGTCTGACTCGCTACGATGGGACCCAGCCTGAAGAGACCCTCCTCAATGGATTGAGTATCTCTTAGGTAGTAGTTGATAAAGACGTTCTGCGTTCTCCAGAAGCCTGCTCCCACTATATATTCGAGGGGGCGCCTGACACTAGCGCTAGTGAGTTAGCAATCGCACGGACCTCATGCGCTCGTACTTGGTGTCTCTGCAAGTTCTGTGTCGAAGAACTATAGACTTCTAACACAGTCACAGTAATCCACCTTGTGATGGAAGTTGGGGAGGCTGGCCTGTCCTGCTTGCCTTGGCGGTAACACAAAAACATGTGCTTGGCACCCCGTCTCGAATCCTTAGTACAGTTTTCGTGCAACTCAGTGCTCTATTATATTTTACAGTCAGGGGATGATGATCAGCTGAGGATTGTGTCCTAGGATTTGGTTCCTGGCGAGACACCCGATTTGCGACTTTAGCACAACTTGATTGTCCATAAAGGTGGCACACTCGTCTGAGAAGGACAATGCCCTCAGTTCTGACTGAAGCCTACCTGAGGCAAGGGTCAGTAGGAAGACTGTTTTCCACGTCAAAAATTATTATCTGATTATGGAAAGCAGTAAACAGTCTCCTTATAATAGGATAATCGGCTAGTCTTGTTTCCAAAGCGTTCTCAATCTCCCTTCAACTACACCAATCATTGTATGCTTGCCACTTTGAGTTGTAGGCAGTGTTGGTGGGATCCCTGTTCACCCTGACCAGGACATTGGCAGCCCGCTCAGACAAGACTTTTGTCTGTGCGAGTCTACTGAGACCCTCTATGTGTGTAAGTGATACACCGCTGGGCTCGTTGGCAGTGCACCGTCAGGTTGGAACAGCATGTCCGGTAAGTCCGGAAGCACAACTGGTTTTTCGACAAGCATTTCCAACAGAAGTGGAAACCAGGCCTTGTTTGGCCAATTGGGTGCTATCAGTGTTAATATGCAGGTGTGTACCTGCCAAAGTTTTCTCTGGTATCTGGTGAACAAGTGGGAAGGAAGGAAAGGCGTACACATCTAAGTGGGTCCACGGGATCGACAAGGCATCCCTGGCCCAGGCTCCTACAGTCGGCAGGAGTGTTACGTACGTCGGGAGCTTGGCGTTCCGGGGTGTGACAAACAGGTCTATCTTTGGACCATCCCACAGCAGATAGTTCATCCAATAGAGGCGCTCACCAACCTTGGAGGGAGGCATCTGTTACCAGAGTCATAGCTGCGGCAAGTGGGTCCAAGGGGACCCCCTATCCTAGGTTGGCCAGTGACGACAACCAGGGCAAGGCTTTCTTCGCTTGGTCCGAGATCAATACCCGCCTGTCTAGTTCCCTAGGAGAGCTCGGTGTTGTAGCAACAAGCATTGTACAGGGCGGCTGCGTAATGCGGCCTGGGGAACTACCCGATGATCCGCATTAGTTCTCGGAGGGACACTGAGGGAACGCTGACTAGGCGTTCAGCTAGGCTGCTTAGTGCCAAGCAACACGCTTGAAATAGATATACCAAGCCTACCTCTGTGTCAAACTCCATGCCCAGGAACACCAACTGTTGAGTTGGGTAAGGATGGGACTTGTCTGATTTACTAAAGAGCCCAACTGGTGAAGTAAATCCTGCATTAGCCTTACTTGCTTGCTCGGCTAATAACCCCTTGTTTGAGTTATGTAATAACCAGTCGTCTAGGTATGGATTGATGTGTACTGACGTTTGGTGAAGCAGCAGCACCACCTGTTGCATCCATTCTGGTGGGACATAGGGGGCTGTACATAACCCGAAGAGGGGGCACCCGAGATTTGAATACTTGGCCCAGCTGGGTGACTTGAAGGAGATGGCAACTTAAGTGTAGTGAGGCTAGTCAGTCAAAACGGTGGAGAGAAGAATGCTGAATGGCGTCTCCATGCGAAACTGATCGAGGAGCACGTACTGATTCAGTCTGCCTAGGTCCAGAACTAGACGCCCCCTGTCTGATTACTTCCGCCCTGCGGGAGTCCCCTGACAGTGCCCCAAATGGGGGAGACATTGATGGGGGAGATGGAGATTTCAGTGGTATCCTGTATCTGTATGTCTCCACCTGGAAAGTCCAGGGATCGGTCACCCGCTGTCTCCAAACTGGACTACACCAGCGCAATTTGTGTGCGACAGGAATATGTGGCCACGGGTTTGGCAGTTGCGAGGTGTTTGTGCTCTCCCATGTGGTGAGTTTCCCAAAGCCTGTGGTAGTAGTAAGTTGTTTGAAGGGTATGAGCGCTTGCCTCCTGGCTGACTCTGGCTAGCGGACGTCGCCTTAGGGCATTGTGTTTTTTGTGCTTGGGGCGCTCTCCGTTTACCCTTGACAGTGGCCAACTGGCTAGCAGATTAGATCTGAACCATCTGGTTTGTTGCACTACTAAGCTCCGAGACTGCACCCACCATCTCCCCCATCAAAGAGGGTGGAAAATGTCCAGTCTGCGTGAAGACCGCGTCTCATTGCACAGTAGTAGCCCCGGCCAGGAGAACTAGGTGACACTGGGGGATGTCGCACGTAGCTGTGTGGTGGCCCACCAGTCAATGTGTCACCTGGTCTAGGAGGCTGGTGCATTCTGCCTCCGAGGTCTCAGAGTCCTGGGCGTGCACAATAATGCGCTCCAACTCTGCCCTCAGGTTGTGATGGATCGTCTCAGACTGAGCTGGCGAGAACGCCCATGGAACGGGGTCGTCCCCCTTTACTGGGTTTGCCAAACAGAAATTCATGGTACTGGGCTCTGGGGAAGGAGCCTTGGGATCTGGTTGGCGTTTGGTCTCATCCCACACTTTGGGGTCTGATCCCGAAACCACATCGACCGGGTAACATTTGGTCCAGGGGAAAGCAGGGGCCTTAAGCATTACCTCCTCCACGGCTGACCAACGTCCGCCCATAAACACCATCTGCACGCCCTGCTCCCCACTCAGTCGGACAGGGGGAGACATGCCAGCGGGGTTGCTTTTGATCCGAGCGCCTGCCATCACATAAGCATTGAAGGGTGGGGGTATATACATCATATCACTAGAATTGATGATACTCCGCATCACCCCCAACGGCGTGGCTCACCAAGTCGTTACGGATGGAAGACTCTGAGGGACTGCCGAGGTACCAGCTGTATCCGATGCGAGCGAACTGTCTCCTTTCAACTTAAATATGTGAGTGAGAGCGTGTTCGATTGTGCGTCTCATGACAGTATCGGTTCTCTCCAAGGACACCCGTGGGTCAGCAAGAAAGGAGTCAAAACCAACAGCGGAGCCCGGACTCAAGGGTAAATTTCTGAGTCTGGTACCGCACGACAAACCCTGGCAGGCTGAAAGTAGGGAGGAGGCACAACGTGTGCCCTGACCTGAAAGCCCTGCCCCGAAATCAGAGGTTTGGCTGCAAGCATCACCGTTGGCATTCAGTGCCTGAGATCCCAGAAAAGACCTGGTGCAACTAGCCTGAGCCTCAGCCTCACCAAAATCAGCAGGAGAGTTGCATGGCTCTGGAAAACATCCCAGGCCTCAGAGCTCTGGTGAAAAACACACGCCTTCAAAGCAAAAACCCTGATCCCCGCATGCAGTCACGGCAAAAATATCATTTCGAATGTGGGTTCTATGCTAGTAAATTCTGATTATAACCACTGCACAGACGCCTCGAAAAACGAGGAGACAAAACAGATGGCGAGCCTCTGGTGCTGTCATTACATCTATCCATTTCTAAATGCATTGGTAAAGCATAAAATGAACACGACATGCATGAGGGGAGCGAAATTGGAAAAGGTGATGCAAGAAAAACCAACGACATGGTTAAATTGTGTCGCCGGGTTTTATTTTCTTTATTGTGAAAATTATATACACAAAGGGGGAAATCGACATGGGGGTAGAAAAATAAGAAAAACTTATCCTACCAGCCACAGTGTCAGCTACCGCAGGCTGCAGTAGCAACCCAGTTAGAGCCGCTAGACTTCATCCCCGCTGATGCGAAGATAAAGAAAGAGTGAAGGTCAAGGTGAGCTGGTGTCACCACATTACCTCGGTCACGTGGTTCGTGACGTAAGGAAAAAAGTCTTGAGGTCATGGGGCTTTCCCTGACCTAGATTTTATCTCTCCGTTATTGGCAGAAACACTTTTAATGCCTACAGTTCAAAATAGTCATTTTGACTGACCGGAGTCTATGGTGGGTAATTGACCGTAGTGAATATATCTAGATATTTATAGTATGACAATGTTTCTGTATCAGCTAGCTGGCTACTAGTTCAAAACATAGTTGAACTCTGGTGACCTTGCCCTTTGTTATATTATATAATTCCCTTTATTATAGTTTGATTCAATATAAATATGCATTGTCATAATTAATTTTGAATACAAACGAGTTTTGGGGTAGAACCAACAGTGGGGAGTCAGTCTACCGAATGTCCTTAAAAGATGTAAATATCTTACAAAATCATTGGTGCCTTATTTGTTTAATTATTTTAAGGGACATAATTTCCAGCTTTATTCAAAGTAATTCAGATATTTTAGTATAAAAACAAATGTCTCATTGCAAAACAAAAGTGCTGCATTTAGATGTGAATAGATTCATAAAACATGCAAGATAACAGAAAATTTTAGCTGGCTTTAGTCCAAGTATTTTGTACAGGTATCTGTCAAAAATTAATGATTTACTGAGACAAATATGAACTGCCTCATTGTGTGACTACTGTATTATATGAAAAGTAAAAAAAAACACCCTTTATGAATAGCTATCATGTTGCAAGCTCTGCTTTGTATGCAAATCAACTTAAATAGTTAGTTGGTGTCCAGTGGAGGGAGAAGTCAACAGTACCGTTGCCTCCTGAGAATCTACATCTTCAAACACTGCAATCTTTGAAGTCCGTTTTTAAACTAGTATTACAAAAACTCTATCATTCTGTTCTAATAGCTGAAACATATTCCTGTGAGTTTTCATTTGTCGAATGAACTGTTTGTCAATACAGAATACATATATTTTAGA